AGGCATAAGACCTTTGTTTCCATTGCTCTTCACCTTTCCTGTGACAGCATTTTAGATTCAGGGAAAGTACTAAAAAGGAAAAAACTCTCATATAATCTTCTACAACATGACCAAGATAAGATCTAGCATTCTCTCTAACTTGGTATGATAGACTGACTAGTGTGTAAAGTGCAAAAGTATTGAGGATTACTTACCAAGTACCCTCACAACAACCCTATAGACTAGATCTTTATTTTACAAATGAGGAAACAGGAATAGAGAGATTAAAAATTCATCCAACATCACATCAGTTCAGTCACTCTGTCATGTCCAGTTCTTTGCGACCCCATGGACTACAGCACGCCAGGCTTCCCTGTCCATCACTAACTCCCGGAGCTTGCTCATACTCATGTCCATCAAGTTGGTGAGGCCATACAACCATCTCATCCTCTGTCATCCCCTTCTTCACCTTTAATCTTACCCAGCATCAGGGTCTTTTCAAATGAGTCAGTTCTTTGCATCAGGTGTCCAAAGTATCCTTCCAGTGAATATTCAGGACTGATTTACTTTAGAATTGACTGGTTTGATTTCCTTGTTGTCCAAGGGACTCTCAAGAGTCTTTTCCAACACCACAGTTACATAGCTGTCATTTATTGGAAAGAAAGGAATTGGATTAAAACGTGAGTCTGGTTCCTTAACCCTGTGCTTAATCACTGATTATACTGGCTTCCAAGTGAAGATGGGGCAATAATGATAGTTATCATTTAATAAAACGTGATAGAGTCAGGAAACCTGGGGCTTTTAAGACAGGCCAAATTCCAATCTCAACCTCGTAACACCTCCATAGCCCCAGAGAGATGAGTGAACATCTTTAGTACAGTGAAATTTGCTCAGTTGTATCCAACTCTTTGTGACCCCATGGACTATAGCCTGCCAGGTGCCTCTGTCCATGGAATTCTCCAGGCAAGAAAACTGGAGTGGGTAGCTGTTCCCTTCTCCAGGGACCTTCCCAAACTGGGAATCAAACCCTGGTCTCCTGCATTGAAGGCAGATTCTTTATCCTTTGAGCCACCAGCAAAGCCCAAACTTCTTTAAGATAGACGTAATGTGAGAGTTGGACTATAATGAAAGATGAGAGGCAAAGAATTGATGCTTTTGAACTGTGGTGTTGTAGAAGACTCTTGAGAGTCCCTTGGACTGCAAGGAGATCCAACCAGTCCATCCTAAAGGAGATCAGTCCTGGGTGTTCATTGGAAGGACTGATGTTGAAGCTAAAAGTCCAATACTTTGGCCACCTGATGCAAAGAGCTGACTCATTTGAGAAGACCCTGATGCTGGGAAAGATTGAGAGCAGGAGGAGAAGAGGATGACAGAGGATGAGATTGTTGGATGGCATCACCAACTCAATGGACGTGGGTTTGGGTGGACTCTGGCAGTTGGTGATGGATAGGGAGGACTGGCGTGCTGCTGTTCATGGGGTCGCAAAGAGTCGGACACAACTGAGCAACTGAACTGAATTGAATTACAATACACTCATAAGGGTAATTGTGAGTTTTAATGATCTGTTCAGTAGCTATAATTTAATAAGCACTCAAAAAATGAGAAAAAATTATTATTAGTTCCTATATGCCAAATACCATTTATATATTATGAACAACCTAACAACAGCCATGAAAGGAAAATATTTTATCCATTTTATAGACCCAGAAACTGAAGCCTAGAATTGCCCAGAATCACATAGTTGAGTCAAGATTTGATCCTAGGCCTATATGACTACAAAAGCTTTGCTAGTTGCATACTATTCCTCCACTTCTCTCAGCACACCAGCCCAGGCTGAGATCATCCTGGACCACAAGTGACATTTTGAATAATCAATTAATGTTTGTCAGCAACTAAGGTGGTGAAGCTGCTTTGTTCACTGAACCCGTTGCTTCTCAAATTCTATTTTTACTCTAATGCTCAAGGGAGGAAGATATTTTACTTATCTCTCCCAGGGAAAATACTGAACTTATAAACAGTAGCACTTTATACAAAATATTCAAAGTTAGCTTAATTTAGAGAAAAGAAGCCTGGACTAAGGATCAAGACATTTGGTTTTTGTTTTGCTTTACTTTTATCAACACTCTAACAACAAACTGTGTATACTTAGACATGTAACTTCAGAACCTCTACATTCTCCCCGTGAAATGAAAGATGAATTCAATGGATTCATTCTAATTCTAAGGTGCTACTACTTAGTACCTCTTACATACATACATGTATGGGCTTCCCTTGTGACTCAGCAATAAATAAAATATGCCTGCAATGAAGGAGGTGCAGAAGATGTGGGTTTGATCCCTGTGTCAGGAAAATCCCCTGGAGGAAGGCATGGCAACCCACTCCAACAGTCCTACCTGGGAAATCCCATGGACAGAGGAGTCTAGCAGGCTACAGTCCACGGGGTTGAACAGTCAGACATGACTGTAGTGACTGAGCACACATATGCATGTATGTATACACATGTAGCAGTCAAAAGCCTCCAAACCGGTTCTTCTCAGTGGGAACCCAGCAACATTATTATTACTTAAAGAGATGTTTCAAAACTCAGATATTAGGATCCTTGAGATTATGATTCCATTGATCTGACTGAAGCTTGAGATCAAATCTGTATTTTTTTTTTAACACTGCTCAGCTTTTTCAGGTGAGCAATCAGGCTCCAGAAGCAGTGCTTTAGAATCCTTTGATAGGTGCAAAATCACTATGTCCTGAGAACACAAGGATGACCAAATCCTGCACCAAGGTCTCAGCCCAGTGGAGCAAACTTACTGTCGAGATAAAGTTCAGTTCAGTTCAGTCTCTCAGTCGTGTCCAACTCTTTGTGACCCCATGGACTGTAGCATGCCAGGCCTCCCTGTCTATCACCAACTCCTGGAGTTTACTCAGACTCATGTCCATCAAGTTGATGATGCCATTCAACCATCTCATCCTCTGTCATCCCCTTCTCCTCTCACCTTCAATCTTTCCCAACATCAGGGTCTTTTCCGTTGAGTCAGTTCTTCGCATCAGGTGGCCAAAGTATTAGAGTTTCAGCTTCAGCATCAGTCCTTCCAATGAATATTCAGGACTGATTTCCTTTAGGATTGATTGGTTTGATCTTCTTGCAGTCCAAGAGACTCTCAAGAGTCTTTTCCAACACCACAATTCAAAAGCAACAATTCTTTGGTGCTCAGCTTTCCTTATAGTCCAGCTCCCACATCCATACATGACTACTGCAAAAACCATAGCTTTGACTAGATGGACCTTTGTCAGCAAAGTAATGTCTCTGCTTTTTAATATGCTGTCTAGGTTGGTCATAACTTTTCTTCCAAGGAGCAAGTGTCTTTTAATTTCATGGCTGCAGTCACCATCTGCAGTGATTTTTGAGGTCCCCCCCAAAATAAAGTCTCTCACTGTTTCCATTTTTTCCCATCTATTTGCCATGAAGTGATGGGACCAGATGCCTTGATCTTAATTTTCTGAATGTTGAGTTTTAAGTCAACTTTTCACTCTCCTCTTTCACTTTCACCAAGAGGTTCTTTAGTTCTTCTAAGTTTGATGGTATTGTCCATGCATTATCACATGGTAGATAGATAGAGGGATAAAACTTTACAAATGATTTTCCTATTGGAAAAAAAAAGCCATATTGTCATTGTAGCATCAATTTTAAATCTGAAGCAAAGATCTAGAAAGCAATAGGATTGACTCACATAGTTGTGGTGTCACATTCAACTTTAGAATCACCCAAAGTCAAGAGAAAGTGTGGTCAATAAAGCCCAGTGATACAGTCAGTACATGAGCACAAAACCTGTTATCTAGTACCTGGGTTTGCTGAGCTAGGATTATGACATGATACCAAAACCATTAGTAAAAATGAATATGACCAGGCAAAGTATATTGAAGAGAATCCAAAGACAAACACAGTTCACCCAATATCAAGAAATGAGTCACAGCTGTTTACTATTGTCAAGGCCAGCTGAAGTCATGCTGGAAAGGATGTCACCACCCAGAAAGAAATGGGTCTTTTTTGAAAGTATAAATATTAATATTACTCAGACCATCATAGTAAATAAAAATATTTACCAAAGGACCAGTGATACTGTACATAAAAGACTGAAGGTCATGTTGGCACATATCCACTGTCACCATTTCTAAAACTCAAGGATCATGAGAGCCAGCAGGTAAATACACATAGATCTATTGTCTATTTGGAGAGATATTTTGTGTGTGACCTTAAGTACTTCTTGTTTGAGTGTTCTCTTCAAAATAGAGTTAATAACACTGTATTAGAGTGTTTGACAATTATTTAATTACAACCTGCAATGCACACTAAACTCTTTGGCAGAAAGAGATATGTGAAGAAATGTGTGAAATGGATAAGAGCAAAATAGTCCTTAAAAACACCCTGACACCCTCTTCTATAAGCTACATGCTACACCTGTCTTCTAGATCTTCTAATCTCAATATTTCATCAGGTATTCATGAATGAAATCCTTCATTTATAATCAGTCAAGGAAATCTTTCATTGATAAACTGTGAGTCCTGTGTAGACAGCCTTTTTGCTCTGCACAAGGGGGATATATGAAAAACATCAGAATGTGAGGCATAATTTGTTATTTACTCACTAAGTCATGTCTGACTCTTTTGTGACCCCATGGACTGTAGCCCTCCAGGCTCCTCTGTCCATAGGATTTCCCAGCAAGAATACTCGAGTGAGCTGTTATTTTCTTCTCCAGGAGATCTTCCGACCCAGGGATCGAACTCAAGTCTATCAAACTCGAGTCTATCAAACTCAAATCTACATGAACTCGAATCTACATTGGCAGGTGGATTCTTTACCACTGAGCCACCTGGCATAATACAAAAATATATTTGGTCTTTGTCCACAGTTCCTGGCACAGAGCTTCTAAAACCCTTGGCATTTCCTGAGTGATAGGAGTATTTTTGTTATTCCAGAGTTTATGCTAGTCATATGACTTTGGGCAGGGCCCCGAGATAATCTCAGGATGGGGCTGGTCACCAGAGAAACCAAACGATTAGAGTGTCAGCCCCACCCACCAACCTCCAGGAAGGGGAGGGTGGGGCTGGACATCGAGCTCTATAGAAACATCATGAACAGTGAAATTCAGAAAGCTCCCAGTTTGGTGAACAACTCTAGGTGCTGCAAGGGTGATGTGTCTGGGAAGGTATGGACATTCCATTCTCTGGCCCTCCTCTACTCCCCAATACCTTAACCTATGCCTCTCTTCCATGTAGTAAGTAAAAGACTTTCCAGAGTTCTGAGAGCCATTCTAGCAAATTATCAAACTTGAGGAGACTGTCATGGAAATCCACCATTTAGAGTTAGGGAGTCAGAAGTATGGGTAGCCTAGGACTTCAGATTGGCCTCTGAAGTGGGAACAGAATTGTGGGACTGAACCCTTTAACTTGCAGTATCTGAGGCTAACTCCAGGTAGGTAGTGTCAGAATTGAATTGAATTGTTGGATACACAGTTGTGTCTGACAAATCTCTAAGTGGTGTTGGAAAAGACATCAGGTATTTGGCATCAGGAGAAATAAAACAACCTATTTCTTCATATCAGAGCTTTTCTGGACTGATGTCCCAAAAGGTTTCATCTCAAAACTAAAAGAAAATTGGCCGGAAACTTCATGTCAACCAACAAATTTTAAAATAAGATGTTGTTCGTTATAGTTTCATTAATACCGCTGTTATTTCTAAAATTTTATTCACAGGAAATAAAGCCCTTTTTACGTGTTCAATATCAATCTAAGTCTGAAATATTTCACCAGATGGATTCTTATTAAAATGCAATAAAAGAATAAAAGGAAAATACAGAGCACAGGAGCAGCCAGTTAATCCACAGGTTAAGTCCTCTCCTAATGAGGCGACAGAAGCAGCTTCTATTTTTGTTTTATATTTCTTTTAATTCATAGCAACATATTTTCTAATCAGACACTCTTATCTTCCTCCACCATTCCTTTCTCTAAACTTCAGAGCTCTCTTCCTCTACCCACTTCTTTCCAACTCTGAATAACTGCAGGCCTGTCTCAACTGCTTACAGTAAAGGATATAATGTACTGTAAGGCGTACAAGCTGTAGCTCAAGAGACCTAGTTCAGTTCAGTCCAGTCGCTCCGTCGTGTCCGACTCTGTGTGACCCCATGGACCGCAGCACGCCAGGCCTCCCTGTCCATCACCAGCTCCTGGAGCTTACTCAAACTCATGTCCATCGAGTTGATGATGCCATTCAACCATCTCATCCTCTGTCATCCCCTTCTCCTCTCACCTTCAATCTTTCCCAACATCAGGGTCTTTTCCATTGAGTTAGTTCTTCACATCAGGTGGCCAAAGTATTAGAGTTTCAGCTTTAGCATCAGTCCTTCCAGTGAATATTCAGGACTGATTTCCTTTAGGACTGACTGGTTGGATCTCCCTGCAGTGCAAGAGACTCTCAAGAGTCTTTTCCAACACTACAATTCAAAAGCATCAATTCTTTGGCCCTCAGATTTCTTTATATTCCAACTCTTATATCCATACATGACTACTGCAAAAACCATAGCTTTGACTAGATGGAACTTTGTCAGCAAAGTAATGTCTCTGTTTTTTAATATGCTGTCTAAGTTGGTCATATCTTTTCTTCCAAGGAGCAAGAGACATAAGTCTTAGGTTTATAATTGCCTAATACTGCCATGGGCTTCCCTGATAGCTCGGTTAAAGAATCTGCCTGCAATGTAGAAGACCCCGGTTCAGTTCCTGGGTTGGGAAGATCCACTGGATAAAGGATAGGCTACCCACTCCAGTATTTTTGGGCTTCCTTTGTGGCTCAGCTGGTAAAGAATCCGCCCTCAATGTCAGAGGCCTGGGCTTGATCCCTGGGTTGGGAAGATCCCCTGAAAAAGGGAAAGGCTACCCACTCTAGTATTCTGGAGAATTCCATGGGGTGGCAAAGAGTTGGACACGACTAAGCAACTTTCACTTCACTTCACAATACTGCCATGAACTAGTTTGGAGACTTAAGAACTAACACTTAAATACCCTGAGATTTTAGTGGTTTCACTATCATAGTAATACATTTGGACCAAACAATATTGAAGAGCTAAGACTCTCTAAGAACATTTTCTATTAAGAACATTTTCTATAATGTTAGCAACATTGACTAGCTCCTGAAATTAAGCAAAGGTCACAGGACTATCCCATGGTCAATACCTGAAAACAAAATTATTTTCTCACAATAGGAAAAAACTTAGCTTCATCATCTACAAAATAAGAGGTCAATACATTGTTTCATTCATGGCTTGACTGGAGAAATACAGGATTGCACACGTTAGCTAAAACTTCAGGGAAACATATGAAAACATTTCTTCTAATCTCAATAGGAAAAAAGAGCAAAGAAAACCTAGCCTGTACACCAAATGAGAGGGAAAATGGCAGCAAAAAAAGCAGAGAGAAAAAAGCATAAAACCAAGATGAGAAAGATAAGGCAAAAATATCTTTATGAACATAAATATAAATAAAGTTCTTTATTAAAAGACTGACTCTAAAATTGGGTTAAAAAGCAGAATCCAACTATATGCTTGACTAAAAAATATACATCTAAATTAAAAGTAAAAAGATCAGTAAAGATTTACCAGGTTTATATAAAACAAGAGATTAATGACACAAAAAGTACACAAAAGGCACTAGATAAAAAATGTTAATTCAGAATAAAAAAGACAGACTTGACAACAAAAGTATAATAGGTAGGAGCCATTATTTACCTAGTAACTGGTATTAAGCTATATAAAGCACACAGCTCTTAGACAAAGTGAGAGAAATAGCCGGATGCACAACTGAGACCTTGAAACAGTTTTGCTTCTTTGATAAATCAGTAGACCTAACATAAATTATATTTAACCAGTAGTTTTTAAATGATATAATGTTTTAGTTTAAAGTTTATGAACTTCCCAGAATACATAGACTCTTAAAATATGTAGAATATTTTTAGAAATTGATCATGTACCAAAAATAATTAAAATTCGATAAATTCTATAAAGGAAAAATATACAGTCTACATCCTGCAACTAAAATGAAATAAACTGGAAAGTAGGAGCAAGAATGGTAAAAAAGGAAACTTTATTTGTAAATTAGAAAAATACATAAGTGACTCTTGGATCAGAGAAAAAAAAATTGATTATAAACTACATACATATCAGAAAATTGTATATTAGAATATTCCATATTAAAACTAAATAATATATTTAAAACTAGTCAGAAGAAATAGGAGCTCTCTATACTTGCTTTATTAGAGCAGATGCAATTCAAGTAAAAGACTTAAGCTTAATTGAATTTAAGAAGTTAGAAAGTAAAAATGATTTTTGAAAGCAGAAGGAAGTAAATAACAAAAGTTAAAGCTGATAATAATGAAAGCAAACACAGAAAACATAATAGTCAAGCATATTCTGGAAAGTCCAGAAAAAATTAAAAATATATAAAAAGACTTAGGACAATTACAAAGATGAGAAATGAGGTAGAACTAGAGGTATGAAAGACACTTTTAAAATTATACAATGCAATACCATATACTGTGAAATTTTCAAAGTTCACTAATGTTCTGGGGAAATATAAATGGTTAAAATTAATTCAAAAAGAACTAGTAAATTGAATAATTCTTTGTCAGTGGAAAAAAATTTAATTCCAATAAGATTTCTAAGTCAAAGCTCTTTTACTAAAAAAAAAAAAAAGCTATTTTACCAGTCTTTGCATGTCTTTGAAGAAATCATCTGTTCATCACCTATACATTTTAGCACAGAAAAAGATGGAAAATTTTCAGACTCCTTTCAAAGTGAGCATATTCACAAGAACCTAATGAAGATAACATGGTGAAAAATTACTAACCAATGCTATTTCTGAGTATAGATATAAACTCATAAGGAAAATTCTTGAAATTGGGATTTCTTAATTAAATAATGAAGACTGTGAGATTTTACCCTATTTACAAGCTGGTAAGTTAGCCTGCCCATAGTTTCATGAGGCAGAAGAAACAAGACTTTGGGGTCAGAGATGAAGGATTTTATTACTTGCAGCACGGGAAGTAGGCTGAGCATCAGTATGTATGTCAGGACCCCTTGCCCTCCATTCTCAGAGGGGTGAAGCTACATGGACCCGTATAGATGCCGGCACATTCAGTGAGTTGCATTACAGGAGAGGAACCCTGAGCTTAGGAAACTCGAATCTTTAAAAGTGGGCAGTAAGAATCCTCCTATTGCCCCAGAGGGAGACATTATCTTTTTATAGTGGACAGTAAGCATGAGTGCTATTTGCTCCAGAGGGAGACACTATATCTTCAAGGCTATAAGTAAACCTGCCCTTTGCTTTGGAGGGAAAGACTATCTCTGTCTTTGAAAAGATATTCTGAAACAAAGAGCAGTCAGTGCCTCTGCTTACACAATACACAGAAATATGAGAGATCCATGGAGAATCGCCTCCCAGCACATCATTAGTGGGTAGTTTTCTAAAAATGCAAGGATGGTTTAATATTTAAAAATAAAAACAAAGCAAAGGAAAACAATATAATACAATTCAACATCTAGTCTTGGGGGTTAAAAAGAAAACTTTTTTATAAATAGAAATATTACTTCTTTAAATGTCTAATTTAAATCTATCTGTTAAAATCTATGCAAATATGGTAAATGTTTATCCTAAAACAACAAGCAACATCCTTACAGTGAAACCCTACAGGCATTCGCAATACAATTGGAAACAAAATAAGGATGGCCATTATAACTGCTATTATCTAACATGATTCTAGAAGTTCCAGTCAAATAAATGAAAATAAAACATATATAAGAAGTACAAGTAACAAAAGTCATCATTATTTTAGGTGACACAATTATATGTATATAATGCAAGAAGATCAAAGGAAAAATTTTAAAAACACTGAGTTCAATAAAGAAGCCACAGCAAAATAAACATTTAAAAAATGTGAAAATATGAAAGCAATAATGAGTTATTTTAAACAATGCTAAACCATAATAACTAGTTACATAAGATTCCATTTCTGATAGCCTCAACAATTTTTTAAAAATAGAAATAACCTGAAGAAGAAAGAATGCCACCTATACAAATATAAACTCAGCACTGTTGAGGCTTTCAACAGTAAGTAATAAAAAAATAAGTCACATGTTCCTACGTGGTAAAAGGAATTTTG